GGCCCCGGGGCTCTGGCTCTCCCCACGCAGTGTCTCTCCTGGGGGCGCCGCTGTGCTCGGCTTCTCCTCCGAAGCAGCTCGGGGAACCAGCACGCTCCCGAGCTCTGCGGCCTGGGCCACGGGCTGAAGCAGCTCACACTCTTTACCGGCTGGTGTTTTCCCCGTAGCGGGAGACTCACAGGCGGTCTCCCCAGTGCTCGGGGGAGATTCCGGTCTTTCCTCAGGAAAGCGAGGGGGCAGTGCTTCTGGAACAGGCCTCACATTGCTCCTGGCGGCCTGAAGACCTTTCTGCTCCACAGCCACAATGATGAGGGCGCCCCTGCCCCTGGAGGCTTCACCGCCTGCTTTGGGCTCCAGCTGCTGGCCCACGGCACCCCCAGGCTCCTGTTCACCCTCCTCAGCCCCAGGGCCGCAGTGAGACACCGTGGCTGCCTTGAATTCTGAAAGACCTTGCAAAGCTTTTTCCCTGAAATTGGGGTCTAGAACCATGGCCTCTTCGGCTGCCTTTGAAGTGTCTATTGCGCTTGATTTCTGGGTGGTCTCAGGGGCATCTGAACTGTCACTCACTTCCAAGCAGCCCATCGAGTCTCCACTCCACACCTGGGTCCCCTGACTGCTAGGCTGCCGTGGGAACTTGGCCCTGGTAGGTGGCTTGCTTTCCACCCCGAGCACATACTTTGATGTGAAATTACTGGTTTGGTTTCCTGCCTCGACAGAAATGCCCCAGAGGTGCTTCTGTGTCTGTCTCTCATCAGCAGCTCTTGGTGCGAGTTGGGTGCCTTGGGGTTCCTGGGTTCTGCTTTCTGGGCTTTGCTCCGACTTGTACTCAGCGGGCTCAGGCACTTCCTCCGCACTGAGCTTCACTAACTCTGACGTGAGGCATGAAGCCACCAGACATGACCTGGATTCCTGTCTTAACTGGTTTTCCCCCAGGAGATCTGCAGAAGGAGTGTCCTGAAAGGCCCTTTGCAAGCGAAACCCATTGGGCTTGCAGGGACCCTGCAGATGCGGAGCCCCACTTTGAAAAGCAGGAAGCGGGCCAGCCAGCGGGGTGGGTGTAGGGGAAAGGGCGTTTTGTGTTCTTGGATCTCGTTCATTTTCTTCCCCTTCCTTCACACGGGTGCCAGACTTCACAACATTCGGTCCCATGGGATCCTCGGGGCACTCTGAGGAAAACCCAGCTATGGAATGGGCCCTGACCGGTGCCCTCATGTGCCCACAGTCGTGTCTGGGGGATGCCCTATTCTTGTCACCAATAGTTTCTGGAGCACTATGATGACGCTTGGTGTGTAGAAGGCAAGATGTTCTCAAAGGAGGCCGGCAGGGAACATCCAAGTGGGGCTGGGACCAGAGCAGTTCTGTGTCCCCTGCAAGGCTTAGAGTACTTTCCCTCTTTGTCCCGGTCCCCAGAGGGGCTGTGCTGTCCACTGGGTCTCTGCTAAGTGGCACAAGTGCCCTGGCCCTGTTGTGGATATGTGGCCAACTCCGACCCAGTTCACAGCACCAGAGAAGGAAGGGCCAGACCACGGGGATGCCCAGATAGCCCTCAGACCTGGATTTCTGAAGAGAGACAGCGGAGAGCCCTCTGAGGTCTTGAATAGCCACCCCCCGTTCTGGCTCCGGACCGCTGCTGTCTGTGGCCCTCTGTAAGCAGCACCCTGTGTGTCGGGGAGCCCCTGCCAGCAAAGCCTCTCGCTCCAGGCTCGTCGCGCAGTCCCAGAGGTGTCCTGCCTCCTGTTCTCCAGCAACGGTGGCAAAGGCTCGCCACCCATTTTTGCAAGAGTCGTCCTTTAAGCCAGGGGACAAATCGAGTTCTTCCTTTGCATGAAGCCCAGGAACACTGGTCAAATGCTGCTCTTGAGGGGGTCCAGTTGCTGAGACATCAGGGTATTCCCAAGGCACTTCTATGTCTACAGGGGTACCTCTCAGAGGGTGGAAGACTCCCCTCGGGAGGTCCCCAGACAAGGACTCTGTGTCGGAGGCACTTTCAAAGGGGTCAGTTTTTGTGTCTGATCCAGTTTCACTCTGCTGGGACAGTGTTTCAGAATCATCGCGGTCTGTCTGCCGGCTCCATCCCTGCTCCACTTGTTCTGCAGGGGATGTGGGGAGCTGGTTCTCTTCAATCTCACCTTCACCTGGCAGGTGTGCACCTGGCTCTGGAGTCTGGGAGGGCAAGAAGAGAGGAGTCAGAGACAAGGCCTGAGGACATCTGTGCACATGTTTACACCGTGCCTGCCTTGGCCAGAAGGAGGAAGGCTCAGAAACGGCTCGTCAGTTCCCCAGGTGCCCCTAGGAAAGGAGGTAAGTATGAAGGGTTGCCTTTTATCAACACGGAAAACAAGTGATGAGGCCAAACCCAATCAGCAGGGAGAAAAGGCAGCACATTCTTAAAACAACCCCATTAAAAATCAGAACAGGACCAACGCGCATGTGGGTTTATGTAGGTATAAATACGTTGCATAAGTCATGGCGAAAAGCATACCTCTGCCTAACATTTTCAGCAAGAAGAAACAAATTAATATGTTTGCATTGTTTGTTCCTCTGTAACCAACTGGTTTAAAGTCGATGCCCTTGCATTGAAGAAGTGTTTTCTGAGTTTGGTTTGTTAGAGCAAAAAAACCCAAAAAGAACGGCAACAACAAAAACGAGAATGATTGAAGTTGCAAACACATTTTGGGATGTTATAAAGCTTTGAAGACAAGAAGAAAAATAGAGAACTGCAAGTATTTCCCTCTCTCGTTACACATTTCTTAAACTACTTATTGAGATATACATTTTCAAGCATCCATTTAAAACGCACAGATCTATGAGATTTGAAAACTGTATACATTCCTGTAACTACCATCATGATAAAAATCTAGACTGTTGCCATTTCCCCAAAAAGCCCCTGCCCTCCCCAGTCAATCCCTGCTTCCCTCCAACTCCTCACGATGACCTGCTTTCTGCCACACAGTCTTGTTTTGTCTTTTCTGGAGTTTCAAATAAACAAATTACACAGTAGCCACCCTTATCCACAGGGGATATGTTCCAAGACCCCCAGCGGATGCCTGAACCACTCCCCCCGAGTACCGAACCCTATCTGTATTGTTTCTTCCTCTACATGCATACCTATGACAAAGTATAAGCTACAAATTAGGCACAGTAAAAAATTAACAAAATAGAACAATTCTAACAATAGACTGTAACAAAAGTTATGTGAAATGGTCTCTCTCAAAATATCGTATTGCACTGCACTCACCTATTTTCGGACTACAGTTGACCTCAGGTAACTGAAACCTTGGATGAAGGGGGACTATTGCATGTTCTTTTGGGTGTGGCTTCCTTCCCTTAGGCATCATGGCTGTAGCATGTCTCAGTGCATACAATGACTTGAACTCTGACCAACTGCTGTGCACACCAATTGATGCACAAACTCCCCAAAGCTCTCCCAGGCCCAGAGCTGGCCAAGCACTCAACCCCATTTCTTAGGAAGGCTACTTGACATAAGCTTTGTACAGAAGCCATTCTGTACAAAGAATACCCCATTAAAAATCAGAACAGGACCAACGCGCATGTGGGTTTATGTAGGTATAAATACGTTGCATAAGTCATGGCGAAAAGCATACCTCTACCTAACATTTTCAGCAAGAAGAAACAAATTAATGGCCCCACCGGCCCCTCCCAGGCATGGTTTCCCAGGACTTGTCATAAGAGCGTTCTCAAAGTAAAATTGCTTTTAATTCTTAACTGAGAGAAGGAAAACAAACACACACCCAAAGCCAGTGCTGTGTGAGGCTTTTAAGGGGCAGGGTAGGACATGAGGAATAACATGATCCTGCAGTTTCAAGTAAGTTGCAAAGCAGAAGGCGTTCGGAATAGAAAAGGAAACATTAAAAATCAAACCATTTGGGAAGGAGGGCTGTGTGGTGGTTACAGGATGTCCCAGAGGAGAGAAGTGAAGGAACCAGGGGTCTGTTGCAGGAACTGTCTCCGGCCGCTGCCTCCGTGGGGC